TGAGAGTGGTAAAACAGTATATGAAAATAGAGGTCTGAACTGGCTTGAGGGACCTACTTAGAGTTAACTGCTCTGTGACCAGTAACTCAAATTGACATCCTGGAGATTGGCCTTACACAGGGAGTGGAGCAGCCCATCAAGAAATGTGATTATGCGCTTCCCTCACGCTCTGTAAATATGTCATATGCTAGTAACACAGCTTAAGTTTGGATGCAATAGTCTGTTTCTTCATGATAAGTTTGTTGTAATAATATTCAATGTATATAATACTGCCCCGCACAAAGGGTTTAGGTCATTATTTGTCTCAGTAAATACCCACCATAACTTCATCGCCTGTGCAAGGCCTTAGTTATTAACAAGATTTTGATTAATACTGTTTTGGCTTTAAACTTTGTTCAAAAGTCTTTCAGAAGATTTTTTTTTTTTTTTTTTTTTTTTCTAGGTAGTTTGCAATTATAAAAATTACTACCTGATTACTTGCACATGTTGTAATAAAAATAGCAATATTAGCCAACTGCATTTGTTATATTTGTTGGCAGAACGATTAAGGTTGGAAGAGAATTTTTAAAAGTTGAAGAAATGTATGTATTTTACATGAAGATAATTTTTATCATGGTGCAGTGGTAGTGAGACAAATTTCAGAGAAGTGATATATACCAAAGCTCTGTTAAAATATGAGATTAATTAATCTCAGACAGCAAACTTTGCTCTATATGTAGATTTTTAATAACCAACTATGAATATTTGTGTTGCTTGTATAAAATATTAAGCCTTTTCTTTTGGAGAAGCACTTTTTTTCTTCTTTTTTTTTCTTTTTTTCATCTTGTGACTTCTCCCATGTTTGTGTTTGATTTTAGTGTATACCCATATAACCCTTTCAGTTTGTCCCACCCATCACTTAGTATAGTTTGAGGTGCTTCTGGCTGCATCTCCCTTTCTAATACTGTTTACTCGTTCAGAAAAAACACTGAAATCTTTGTCTTGTGCAAACTTTTCTTTTGAAGGGAGGAAAGGGGGGGGGAGGGTAAGCCTTGTTTTCCAGTGTAAAAGTAATATTCTGACAATTTTTTTTCTTTTCTCTCTCTCTCTCTAAGAGTTATCAAAATTTTGTATCTTTGTGTATATCACTAAACTCTGAACCAATTTAGTATAACTGACTAAATGAAAAATTACATTGCCTCCCTTTAGTTTTTATGTATTTCCTCTTCTAGTGTAAATGATTGATGTTTACAGAGATGAGAAAATTATAATGAATAAATGATTTTTCAGCCGAAGGAGAAGATCCTTTTGCAAAAGACAGGTGGTCAGGTTTTAGGCTAACGGTTATCTTCAGAGGATCTAAAAAGCAATGCAGATGGATGTTTCTGCACAATAGTGGATGTGATGTGTGACGAACTTGTGCATTGGTTAATTTGTCTAAGAGAGAGCCTGCACATATCTTATTTTAGAACCCTTTGTCTTCATAAGTCCTCAACAAATATAAAACTTGACAGTGTTAGCCCAAAGTGGATAAAAAAATAAATAAAGACCCATCTGGGGTAGCAGCACATTGACCTATTATCTAGCGTTTACACCATCATGTCTTGCGTCTGTAATGCTCATATCATTTGAATTATAACCTATTCGAATGAATGTATAATTAATTTGTTATAAAAATAAATGTATTTTTAAATATGTTGAATACCTACTGCATTTGATTTATTTGACCTCTTGGTTAGAAAAACAATTGGAATTGAGTATATTACCATTTGTGAAAATGTCCTTTTGATTTAATTACTAAAACAAAGGAAAATTGTACTCATTTTCACATAAAACGAAACACTTATTCTTGCTTCGTAATATCAAAAATGAATTTAAAATTCATATTATTTCTTGATGTTACAGGTTTTCTCTTGTTAATTGTACTAAACTTTCCTACTCTACTGTTTTAGGAGAAGGCCAAATTTTTTTTTTGCATTTTTATTTGTTTTGCAACTGTTTTGATACTGAAACTTAAATCTAGAACAAGGGATATATATATATATATTTTCTGCAAAATCATGTTTCATAATGCAGCACATGATCATTACATCTCAATATACCATGCTTCAAACCTTTCAAAAACCTATTCATACAAGTTACCTCGTACAAAAATTAATAATAAACTACGTAAGAGAAATACTCTTAATTATTCTGTCCATTATATTCTTAATCAAGAGGTCAAGAAGTGTGTGAGCCCACACTAAGCCCTTGGTGAAGGGAAGTTTTGATTATGATACGTGCAAAGCTCAGCTGTGTGAGATGGGGCTAGACTGGACACAGTCCTGCTCTGACTCCATAATAAGTGGTTGGAGATAATGTTTAGTTGTGCGCTTTATAAAGCTGATGGAATAAAGAAACGTACAGCATGGTATTTATCTATACAACCTATTATCCTTTTAAAAGTATATGAATATTTTAATAAACTTTTACTTTTCCTTACATTCTATTTTCTTTTCCAGTAATAAAATAGATGCTTTATTGCTGGTACTCATAATTAGAAAATGAGCTTTCTTTTAATCCTACATCAATTAAGAGGAGAGAAAAAGATTCTACATTTTTTCTCTTCTCAATAGCATTTTTTAATGAATTAGTACACTAATTTTGTTAACCAAAATAGGAATAAAATTGTTCAAACAGAAATATCTGCCATGTGGATAAAGGTGACAACTTCAGCATTTTGTTTCATTCTAAGATTCTTTCTTAAAATGGATACTGAAAACATATAAAGTCCAGAGAAGTCCTGGTATAAGAACATGAGTTTGATTTGACCACTGCTTTTCATCCTCTTCCTAATTTAGATCTGTTACAACAGGCTGATGAGATTTTCAGGTGATATATCTTGTACTTAGTCTAAATGCTAGAGCACAATTCTAGTCTACTAAAAGAGACCATCTTTCACCTAGCTAAATTTAGTTAAATGTTGTTTCATACTCATTCTTGACAAGCAGTGGCCATTACTGGTACCTAACAGTTTTGTGGATGCAAGTATGCATATGTATATGTAAGTATAAATGTATGTAGTGTTTTACATTTTTTCTGATGTATTAAAAACCATAAAGCAGATTCTTTACAAACATGGTCACTAAAAATGTTTAATGCTTATAAAGCAAAATAAATGTACTATACATCAAAAGTCATTTAGCACTATAGAAAGGTGTTTTCTATAGCCCCCCCCCATTAGTAGATTAAATGTGCTACACACAAAGTCATACAGCAATTCAAAATAGCAGGTAAAGAGGGTGGGTAAATTAAATGGATGAAGGTAGGGATTACCAAAAGGGTGGTATTCTGGAAGGATGTCCATGGGGTAGGGCTGAGATTAGTAAGGAGAAATGTCCGGCAGGGGAGGATCAAGGTAAAGGTATTGTTGTGAGAAAGGAGTCACATGTGTATCCATGAGGGAGAAGGATAACGGAAGGAAGGGGTGTGTTGCAGATGAAACGGGGGAATGGGATGTGTTGAGAGGGAGAGGGAGGAAGGGGTGTTGGGGAACATGAGTAGGAGGGGAATGTATGTCGGCAGTCATTTTAAGTGTTGAGGGAATGGAAACAAAGATATTGTGAGGATGGATGATGTATAGACATTTTATTTTGGGTCATTAATAGATGTTTTAAGGTTATCAAAAGTTTTTGAAATGGAGTTGGTCTAGGAGGTTCCGAGAAACATATGTTTTCTAATTAGGGGAAGAGGAGGGGCAGCAGAAGAGGAAGTTGTAGGAGAGGATGCAGTAGGTGAAGCTAGGGTAAAATGTTACTGTCTGATGTGACAAGTAGAACGAGGAGAAAGAGGGATAGGCACCAGGGATGTAGAGATTGGAGTGTCGGGATTTTGAATGGTGAAAAATTTGACTGGGAGAGGGAGGGTGTAGTAGCAGGAATGCAAGCAGGAGGAGGAAGATAAACTGGGAGTGATATAGAAACATCTTGGGTAGAAGGGGAGGGTTTAAATCTGAGGACTGCTACCTCAGACTCAAACTTACAAATGGGCAGCCCCAATACAATAGGTTATAGGTACCACCACAATTGGTACATGTGCACAGGTTGGGCACATTAAGGACAGCAGGCTGTGGAGTGACAGTGTTTAGGTGGTGGCCAAGACACCATTTTTGACATCGATAGGGGAGGGGTCAATATAGTCAGTGCAACTTTTCACCATTATGAACTTTATGGGGGAGGTCACACCTACAGAATTTGCCAATATTGGAGTAGGACTTTTGCCGACCTCAGGTGGGTGGGGAAATAATGTACCACTGTACTGATACTACATCACAGTCAATGAGACAGGCAAGCAAGTCATTTTCAGTCTGACCAACCCCTGTTGTAGACAGGGCAATCAGCTAGGGATATGGAAACAGTTCCAGTACATGTACTTAGGTTAATGGTTAATGGTTAAAAGCAAAATAATGTGCTAGACATCTAAGGTCATATAGCACTATAGGAAGGTATAGTAAAGGGTGATGTCAGGTGATAGTTGCTATGCGTCAACTATCTAGAGTAATGTTGGAAAATTGAAGTTGGGTAAAGGGGTTGATGAGGAAAAGGGTTATGGTGGTTTAGGTATGGGAATTAGATCAAGTGAAGGATATTTGTGTCTGCGGAAGGAGAACAGGTTGTTATAAGAAGCAAGGATATGACATAGGTCTGGTCTGGAACCATGAATATTGCAATGTAGGAGAGCTATATCTTAGTTATTTTATGAGTGAAAGCACCAGTACATGTTGGGGAATCTGGGGGGGAAGGAGCTATGGGGTGTTGTGACATAAGTGATTCCCGTGTGTATCCGGAAGGGAGTGGAAAGATAGGGGGGAGGAAGGGAGAATGTACGTATAGTTGGAGTTGAAGGGGATGTGTTGTCTTGGGAGGGATTAGGAGGAAGGGGTGTAGGGGTGCTATGAGTAAGAGGGGGATGGATTTCAGGAGGATGGATATCGGTGGTGGACGGAATTGAGGGGTAAGGTTGTGTTGAGAGGGAGTAGGAGGAAGGGGTGTAGTGGGAATATGAGTAGGAGGGGTATGGATATCAGCAATCACTTCAAGTGTGGAGGGAGCATGAGTTTTGGAATTTTGTGTCTCAAGCATATAGCTTTGAATGTCTTCCTTAGTTTCTGCAGTGGAGTTGGTTGGAGAGTTTTGTGGGACAAAGGTTTTCTTATGAGGGGGGGGAAGAGGAGACTGGTGTCTGAGGAGTAAAGGTAAAGGTAGATGGAGGTGAGTGTACTGTAGGGGAAGAAGGGGTGGAACGTTTAGTCTGTCTACTGCGGGTAGTGCGGGGAGGGAGAGGGGATGGTGTTGGAGCTGTAGTTGAGATTGGGGTGTCTGGATTTAGAGTGGCAAAAGAATTTGACTGGGGGAGGTTGAATGTAGAAGTGGAATCTTGAGGTGGAAGGGGAGGATAGAGTGACATTACTGGAGTAGGGAGTATAAGAGAAACCTTGTCGGCGTGCTTCCTGTCTGGCTTCACGTAGAGTGAGACCATTTTTGTATCTGAGAGCTGTTACCTCAGACTAGAACCTGTAGGTGGGACAGCCTCTATAAAATACATTATGGGGGCCGCTGCAGTTAGCACATGTGCGTGTTTGTGCAGGGCAGTTTGATCTGTTATGATCACAGAGCACAGAGGGGGCATCGGTCTGTGGAGCGGCAATTTTGACATTGACGGGGAGGAAGTTGGTATGGTTGAACAGGGAGGGATTGTCCACCAATGCAGATACGAACGGGTAGGTCATGTGTACTAAAAGTAATTTTGGCAATGTTGGTGGGTTTCTTTCGATGACCTCTAGGAGGAATGGAGTAGCAATGTACTGATATCATATCCTGGTCTTTGAGGCAGCCAAGCAAGTCATCTCCACAATCTGACCACAATCTGGTATCAACTGGGCAGTTTGTTGGGGAGATAGAGACAGTTCCGGTACAAGTATTAAGAGTTGGATGAGGTTCTGCAGGGATGGGGTTGCCAGAGAGATCAGTTAGTTTTGATAATGCTATAGCTTCAGCTTCAGATCTGACTGTTACGAGACGAGAGTGATCGCGTCGGGTACAGAAAGGAACTCTGCCTACATGATTTTGGAGACATTGTTGAAAGAGAAGTGTTGCCTGAGTAAGGAGCTGTAGGGGGGATCGCGAAAAATCGGTCCCATTTAGCTGAGCTAAATAGAGTAGTTAAGATATTTGTAGGGTTGGTGGTGGTAGAAAGACGGGGGTGTGTGGAAGCTGGAGTGTTGTTGAGGGAGGTAGTATTACAGAGAGATGGAGAATAAGGCTGTAAGGTAGTAATGAGGGAGGTTGAAGTGTTTGATGAATGTTGTAGGGGGTAGAGTTGAAGAATTTGAGGAAGTTGGAAGGTTAGGAATGTCTTCTGGAGATTGAGTGTCTGCTTGGGTGGGTAATGCACTAGTAGGCATTGAGGAGTGGGGAGTAGTTTCAGTGTTCGGAGTCGTCATTTGATGAAGGGGCAAGCCTCATTGCCCCTAATAGGGGTATTACATCTTCATTACTGGCCATGGGAAGCCTTGTTTATGTAAAGAGACATAAACAGTCCACCCCCCAGTGTCCTGTACTGGGTAAGGGCTAGATAATTAAATCAGGGGAGTACCGTGCCCATGGTTCCCGCAGGCCGTTCAGGACTGGCACAAGGCCAGTCCTGGCCTCATCCTTTCAGCACGGCTCTTACACCTTAGGAAGTAGATAGTAGAAGGGGTTAGAGAAGGGATGGAAACAAGAAGCTGGAGGGGGAAAAGACCATGCAAAATTAATTGAGTCAAGGGCTGAGGTCCTAGGCAGGGGAGATCCCTGAATTGGGTCTCAGTCTCCGTCTCCTAAGCCCCCCCACAACAACAACGGGCAAGGAATTGGGGGGACAAGTACTAAGGAAGGAGTGAGGTTGATCAGGAATAGGGTTGCCAGCGAGATTAGTCAGGAGAGATAAAGCATGAACTTGGGACTCCGCTGTAACTGTAATATGGCAAGAATGATTGGAATGGCTGCAGATGGAAACTTTGCCTACTTGTTTTTGGAGTTATTGTTGGAATAGGAGGGTAGCTGGGCTACAAAGAGTACTCTAAAGATTTTTAAAGGCGGAAGGAGTTGAAAGGCAAGGATGGGAGGAAGAGGAAGTGGTGGTATGGTGAGATGAACAATAATGGTGCTGGGTAGTAATAAAGGAGAAATAGTTTGAAAATGAAGATTGCAGAGGATGAGGAGCAGTAGAGGATGTTGGGAGATAGCAAAGAATATTTTTTGAAGGTTGGGTAATGATCTAGGATGGTGCTTTGGAATGGACTGAGCTGACAGCAGGTACTGAGGGGTGGGAAGTAGTGGTGTACAGAATCATGATCACAAGGAGGCAGGGGTCAGGGAACCAGGAAAGATAATGTCACTGGGGCTAGATGATAAAGGAGCAAGCCTAAGTGCCCGTAACAATGGTACAAAATCATTACTGGCTATGGTAAGCCTGGAGTATATGGGGAAGATTAATTGTTCA